CACACACACACACACCACAACAACACACACACACAACACACACACACACACACACACACACACACACACACTTCCGTTGTGATGTCCCCTATTCTGTATTTCGCACGGTTGACAATATAAAAGCTTCCTGGACAGACAATGGGCCCTTCTTCCTGAAAGTGCTGTATTATGATTAGCCTCTGTCCGTCTGTTTCACTTCTCATATTCACTCACACACTGAAATCACACACACAAACACACACACACCACACACACACGACACTACACATTTCACAAACACACACACACACACACAAATTTCCGCTGGAATGCCATCTTTCCCTTTGTTTGTGACATTGATACTAAAAACCCTTCAGAAAAATAAACAATTGCTTAAAGGCTGGACATGAATCATGGCACACAAAAACCCACGTTTGCACCGCATGAGATAATTTAACATACATTTATCGTGCAATCGCCAAACAAGCTTGCCACTGTGTAGTCCTGATTATCTCAACATTTATATTTTAAAATGTACATAAATACTAACTACATTGCAATCATATTAGATCCAGATTAGTTGTTCTGTCCTATTGCATCACAATAAAATGAGCAACAGTCAATCATGATTACATCACCCTGTGTTAAGCTTAGTTGTCAAGATGTGCGTGTTTTAGTTTTGATAGTTAGGGCATGTATACTGTCGGTGTGATTCTGTTAAGTGGTAAGTGTTGACATTCTAAAATACATGTTCCCGGTGGATTTGATTTTCTCCATTAGCTCTGTGGTGTCTGTGTCTAACACATGAGTGGTAGTAATGCACAGGTACATTTTCAGATGTTCTGCCAGTGGACGCACCTCATTGGGAAACTCCGGTCACACATACAAGCCCCTGAAAACAGTAAAGCGGCAGTACAGAGGGGGGGGGAGAAGCAGAGGAGACGGGGAAATTACGCATAGACACTACAGTGTGAAGGAGGTAGTATGAAAGAACCGAGTTCATAAAAGATAAAGATGTGAAGATTAATGATTTAGAGACTCAGGCGGACAAGACTGGAGAAGATGGAAGAGAAAAAGACAGGTGTTTATGGAAAGATAAAAAAACTAAAGAAAGACAAGAAAGAAGATGAGACAAATGAGGACCAGGGTAGTTTAAATGGAAAAGCACTTCTTGTCATCAAGGCCTGAAGCTCAAGAAATTTATACCCGCCCCAGATCCACTCATTGGTAATATTGGATTAGGCATAACCAAAAAGACACACACCACAGCCCACCACACATGCACAGATGCACACCATGTGTCTCCACTAATATTCACACACAAAAACTTTGTTCAGAAACCCAAACAGTGAAGTGCATACTGGAGCACACATGGAGAATTTCCTCATGGTCAACTTACGAAGGTATGTCCCTATTTTAGCCAACCTCTGCCCCTCTCCCCGTCCCCAAGGGCATGTTTCCCAAAAAGTTCCCGGGTCAACTCAGCCCACAGCAATGTTATTACTCCTCAAATCTCAAATCATTATAAGTGACTCGCAAGTCTACTATAGATTGGTCCGTTAGTGCTATGTGTGAGATGTTTACTGCAGTTAAATATCATATAGAAATTCCAAGTCATAATTGATTTGTAACCCAATACAGTAAACAGCAGTATGCATATACAGTCATTAAAAAACACAGTCAAGGCAGACAAAATAGTTGGGCAGGCACCAGAATACACAGTACCAGACAGCAGCAGGCAGACATCAGCTACATTCTGGAAAGGTTGTCTGGTGGTTAATCTGTGTTATTCTCACATGGACCATGGACCTTAAATAGTTAGTTAAGTTTGTATTTCCTCTATACAGACTAAGGCCGCCCCGTCCACACGAGACAACCGCTAACGTTCTTTATCGCATAGACGGTTCGTCCACAGAAGCCAAAACTGGAAGCGCGGATTCGGAGCCCCGAAAAAACGATACACTTTGAAACCGGCTCCCAAAGTGGGTTAAGTCTGGAGACCAAACGCTTGCGGCTCCGTGTGTACACCCTATACGATAATTTCCTGAAACTATGACGCCATAGCCCGGCCTCGCACCTCTCCTGCTCACCCCTGCGTCATTGCTGATGCGTTTCGCCAACAACAACAACAATGGTGGATCACAGGGTTGCGTTCGTGCTCCAGACGCTACTGACCATGATACAGATTTTAGTGCAAAATCTACAGCTCCTCTACCACAACCATCAGCAACAATAATAATATAATAATAATCGTCATCGGTCTTATTCGCTGCTTTTAGTGTATTTTGTACAGCGCCACCTACAGGCCCGGCATATGTACTACAGCGTCTTCAGCTTTTTCGAGCGGTTTTGTGTGGACGGACACGTTTCTTGAGCCGATTCCGTGTGGACAGAAGACTTTTTTGAAATCGACTTTGGTTCGAAATCTGTTTCGTCTCTGTTTCCGTGTGGACGGGGCCTAATTCCAAGCCTGCTCTTTGGGTGGGTTGTTGGTGCAGGTTCCTGGTAGACATGGATTAAAAGCTTTAAAGGAATAGTTTGATATTTGTTTTCTTTACAAGATGAGAAAATGAGTATGTGTCTTTGTCGCATTCATGCTGAAACTAGATTACCACGACTCTACTGGTAGCCTCGCTGGCACCCCATGTCATTTTTACACATATAACATGTCGAATAAAAAGGTTAAGAGACAGGACATTTAGACAGAGCAAGACTGGTTGTTGGGAGTCAACTAGTTCAGGAGGCAGAGCAACAACTGATCAAATTGTTGGTCGCTCTACCTACATATCACACTGTCCTTGGGCAAGATATAAAACTCCAAATTGCCTCCGATTAGCTAATAAATCATTACTGTCCAGATATCAGAGTGGAATCAATTTCTCATCCTACTATCGACAAGGAAATAAATAACACTATTTTTTGTAAGATTTTAAACTATACCCTCAAGGATATGTAGTTACTTTGAATTGGGATCAGCAGAGTAGCCTGCCAAACAGTGGATTGCTGTGTGGCACTTTTGACCAATTTCAAGATTGATTCTTCAAATTATTTGGGGTTTTAAAGTATTCTGGAGTCAACATTTGTACACAACCAACTTTGCGGGACTTTATCCTTTTCTACAGACCAAGTAGTATGTTTCCTTGCTGAGTTAGCATGGCGCAGTGCTCAGTCAAATAAGGTAGTGTTGGAGTTAAGCTTGAGGCTTTCCTATCATTAGCTAGATTGGTGGCCTTTTGCTTGGTGACCTATTATCATATTGTGTTGGTGTTTATGTAGGGATGGCTGTGGTTCGACAAATTTGGTTTCATAATCTCCGATATATTGTGTTGTGGACAGACGTTATATTCTAAGACAGGCTCAGAATCATAGTCATTCCCAATTTTGAGGAATGTAGCTCATTCCATGGAAATTAGGATAATGTATATGTACTGGTGTCTTTGACAACTTGCTGACAAGGAGTTGGCTGAACGGTTCTGAGCTGTAATTCAGAAACAAAGTTAAGTAAGGCAAAGTGTTGTTGAACAAAGGGGGAAAAAAGTCCAGAGGGGCTTTGAGTGTTTTCTCTCTCTTCTCCTGTTTGGCCTGTGTGTGTTTCTGTGTGTGTCCACCGTGTCTTTGCTTTATGGAGAGCAGTCAGATCAGATAATCTCTTTCACTGGCTCCTCTCCTGTTTCTCACATTATCATCCATTATCCCTCCATCTTTCTTCTCCTCCTTTCAGACCCTTTGTCATCTCTAGCCGACTCCCCCCTTCTGTCTGCCCATCTAACTCCCCGTCTAAGAAAAACTCTCACATTCTGCTGTACAATAATATCTCCCATGTGCACTCATTCTCTGTGTCCTTTATATGCACACCTGTTTACTACCTTGCTTTGTTTCTGTTTCTCACACACACACACACACACGGCACGCACGCACGCATGCACACACACACACACACACACACACACACACACACACACACACACACACACACACACACACATACGCACTCTTTCTATGTCCCTCTTACTTCTTGGTAGGAAACAATGCACAGGAATTGGGTGTGCAGGGTGTGGAGGGAGGTAAAGTTGCTTTTCAGAGATGTCAGGGACATCCTGTTACACACACACACACAAACATGCACACACAGACACACAAAGAGGATGTTGGCTGGACAATGGATAGGTCTCAGGAGTTTTAGTGTGGAAAGGGGCCCTTCCATACCTTGCTTTCCACTCCTTACACAATATTCCCTGCTCAGTAGTTAAAGAGTTTCTTTCCAGCCTGTTATACAGTATATCTAGTTTTATAACACTTAGTATTTCAATAGCACTTATTCCACTGGATGACATATTCAAATGACTTTAACATGCCTTAAGGTCCTTAAGGACCTCGATTAAGGTAACGCAACATCAGACTTCTTCTACACACTACGGGTGTGTGTTTGAATTCAGGGCAGGTGAATGCGTCTTTGTGTGCAGGGCTAGGGGAAGCAAAGAGTCAGAAGTGCAACCACGGGGTGAAGAGTTCAGAGAGAGAGAACAAGAAAAAAACAAAGAGGGAGAATAATGCACAGGAACAATAAATGCTTCTGAATATTACAAAAAATAGAAACAAATGTTTGTGTGCATTGCGAAACTATGCCAGACATCAGCCATGTCACTCATAGCTTTCATAAACTTGAAAGTCAAAGACGTCCCAGTAAAAAGGTTTTAAATTATTAAAAGGGAATCAGTTTCTATTAAGGGAACATTGAGGCTCATATCTGAAAAGCAGCAACAATTTGATATTTTGAAGGAGATTTTTATCAAGCAAAAAAAAGCCAAACATTTATAGACCACATTCTTAATTGTGATGATTTGCTGCTCTCCTTTGTCATTTATTATGATGAATTAAATATATTTAGGTTGTGAACTGGTGGTGATGCAGTGCAAGCAATGCATATTTTTGGGCTTCAATGATAAGCGTTTTTTATTGAACTTTTTACGTTACATAGCTTCAAACATGATCAATTAATGGTGTAAATAATCTGCAGGTTATTTTTTTATTTCATCCGTAATTTGAACAGCATAAAATTAGAGGTGGAGAGTAGAACAACTTTGATAAATGCAGATAAATGACTAAATACATTTTTTTCTCAAATCTATTCAAAGGTTGTGCAGCAAACAAGGTGATGGAAAAGCTGTATTAGGCAACACTCAACATTTATGTGTTGTTTTGTTAGCTTAAGAAATAAATACTTTTTCTCACGCACTCTACGGTCACAATGTTTCACATGCTGCATTTTTCCCATGGTTCCCAGTTTGGCCCTGTGTTAGCTTGAGGCACCAAGATAAGAGTGGAAACTTGGGTAGAGAGTAATTCCAGCACATGGGGAGCAAAACACATGGTCGTGAGGTTTTATTGCCTTTATTTAAAACATCCGCCGTGTGCAAGAGTGCCACATGGAGATGAATGGAGTCGGAGAGGCAGAGATGAGGAGAGAAAAGGAGGGGAGGAGCGATAGCAGTGCCAGGTGCTATTGTCCTGTCTGTCAGTTGCTGGAGGGGCAGAACAAAGAAACTGGTGGGCTGTGGCGTATCACATGTCCGTCTCACTCTTTACTCTGTTATTCACTCACACACTCAGTACATTCACTCTGGGAGATGTTTGACTCCTTTGCATTTGTCTTGTCTCCCATCCCCCACTCTATCTTTGTGAGTCTTGATTTTGTACCCCAAATCAACCCCCCTACTACTTCTCTTGTTTGTCCTCTCCAGATTCGAACTCCATTACTGAGCAGCAGGTGGGATTGGAGCAGGTGGAAGGCAGCCCTATAGGTGCAGGACAAAAAGAAAGGCAGGAGGAGACCCCCGACTACTCCCAGGTAAGGAGGTCACTGCAAGGCCAGCACATCCCACACCTGTCCCTTGGCGCCAGGGAGGGGGGGGATAGAGAGCAATGGGGGGAGCGACACACCTGTCCCCTGGGGAACTCGCCATTGGAGGAATAAGGGACGAGCTTAAGAGAAATGGGGGATAGACGGTATAGAAACACACTTGACCCCTGACCTTTTAAAGAGATTTGAAAGGGCATGTGTGCCTTTTTGATGTGAAGACAAAGAAATAGAAAATAGCGTATTTTTTTAATCTCATAGCAGATCTTTCGCAAGATACATCTTTAATGTGAGCGTGCATTGTCTTTTAGCCTTAGTTCTTCCACTGACGATCAGCAGCTGCTGCAATATCCAATTGCTCGATGGCTTCTGTCATCAGCAGGCCACCCAGCTACATATCATGGAAAGCTTCATATGACAAAATGTTTAGCCAAATGAGACCATTGTTATGGTAACATATCAGTGCTAGGAGAGTCATACACTGGTCCTCTGCTTTTTGTCATAATAGAACTTTGAAACATTTTCTGTCAGCCTTTTGGAAGTTTAACTGATGATTGGCCTATAGAAGGGGGCTTATTTAAATAGAAATGCCTTAGCTCTACAAATGCCAACTCATACAAAGGGTTATAGGTAATCTCTTCTCTCTCTCCTTCTTTCCTTCACTTCTCATCTATTCTTCACTCTGTGCTAAAGTCTGTAAAAATCTTTGTGGGAGAATTTTCCCCTGTAAAGTTAAGGGAACATTTGTTGCTTCCAGAAACAGTCCAATAAAAACAGACCTCAGCCTCACTCTCTGTCGTCTCTTGCTTTCGCTCTCGCTCACTTTCTATCCCCCAGCCCCTTGTCATCGCTTTTAACCATACTGACCATTGTGCCTCTGATTCCCAAATGCTGATATCCAGTGTCGCACAGAAATGCAGAATTACTTCTTACAAAGATTGTCAAAATTCACTAAAACCTACCATCTTCACATGGGTTTATGTTAATATAATGATCTCCAGGAGAAGTCCATGTGTCACAGTGAACTTTCTCTGAGGAACATATTTCATTTGTGTTTACAAACTAAAGAATATCAAGGACATAATGTTTGATCTAATGTAGCTTCATTGTTGAAAATGTGGGGCATCATTTCCTTGTGAAAACTGAGGTATTTTAAGCTGTTCAGAGTAGTAAGTAACAAAGTCATAAACTCTATAATTAAAAGAAAATCAGCAGCACTGATATGAACTGTCTTGAATGCATTTCTTCCATATTGTTCTTTATACTAATTTATACATGGATAACAGAAAAGTAACATCTCTGTTTAATCACAGACTGGTTTATTGTGAGCTGTTTGAGGATTACTACTTTGCTATCTGGTCTTTCTGTGAGGATCAGTGGAGTCTTTCTCATGTTAATCCAGTGATTCCTGACACTCTATTAGCAGGCCTGGATCAGACCGGACACCTACCTCCGAGTTGATTAGTCAGGCCTTTTGTTCAGCTGGCATTACATGTGTTTGATGAGAAAAGCTCCTGCATTGTGACTTGTTTGTTTGTATGTGTGTCTTCTCTCAGTGACAGAAATAGAGCCCTCTTGTGGTACGTTGGTCTTTTCCATTCTTTCCTCACTTTCTCCATCCCCTTTGGCATCAATTCTCACTGGGTGTTTTTCTGATAGGTCATGTCGATTCTCTAGAAACTCGGTGTGTTTTTTTTCATGGGTGAGATAAAAGAAAGATAGATCATACTCACAAATTAAAACAATTTGGAACAACAACATGCTTTATGTTTGCAGGATATGAAAACGTTTCTGCTATCCCTTTCTTAAAGGATTCTTTGAAATGTCTTCACTTTGCACAACATGTTTAACTTAAAAGACCAGTGTGTATGATTCAATGGCATCTAGTGGTCAGGTTGAACATTGTAACCAACTAAATACGCCTCTGCTCACCCCTCCCTGTGGCACTACAGTACAGTACAGTGTACGGCGGATTTTGGCTTATGAAAAACTGTGAAGCTACAGACAGTACTGTTTTGTTTGAAAAATGGCGGACTCTGCTAAAGTGGACTCGCTCCCTTTGTAGATACGATCAGCTCATTCTAAGATATCGAAAACACAACGATTCTTAAATTGAACGTAACAATTGTTTCTGTAATTAAATCTAGCTGTCCCGCTAAATATAGCTATCTTCAACACAGGTGGTGTTATCCTACACTGTCTACACAACTGTTTGATTGGCAGATAACATGGATGCTCAGCTATTTGTTGACAGGATGCAGTCACACATTAACCTTTGACTTCTGCCACTGGCCAGCTAAAACCTTTTGACCTCATGCTTTGTTATTTCTTTTGTTTTTTCCTTTTCTCTTTCCCCTTGTTTTGCTTCCAAATGGAAAAAGTGAAAGTTTCCCCAGATGGTGGTGACTGTAGAATATATGGTTTGTATTTTATTATTCTTCTACATACCATATGTCAATTTTGGCAAAAATAAATCAGCGCTTTTTGCAGCAGTCATCCTCAATCACTCACTTCCCAGAGTGTGTGTATCAGTCTCAGCACTGCAACACTCTTTAGGTTGTAAGTCTTTGTCCTTTTGCCCTCTTTATGTTTCCTCTTCCATTTTTCCAGCTGTTAATCCATTTCTGCCCTCATTGTCGAAGTCTGTTCTTCACGCAGTGGATGTTCTGTCCGAGAAGATTGATATTTGTTTGACACAAATCTCTTATAATGGTGTCAACTACCGTAAAACATTCAGAAGTTTTCTACACAATGTTTGGCCACCATATGGTTCTACTTTAGCCTCCCTGTATAAATGTGGGCAGTACCAGCACATGAGTTTCTTTATCAAAGCTAACATATTCCAAGTTTATTTGCATCTCACCTCTACTCAAAGTCCATTACACCTCATTCGTAGCTGAAAACAAGACAATTTCTACAATGAATGGCCATCTGGTTACATTTAATTGAGGTGTGTGTGGTTTTCGGCTCACATTACAACACCTTAAAACCGAACTTTAACCTTATTGATGGATTGTTCTGGTGCTTTGGTTTTGTGAGTGCCGACTTGCTCTCAAATGGATTTGTTTCTGTAAACATTGTCAAACCTACTTAGCTTTTTATATTTAAATCAAATAAAAATAAAATCTATATATTAAAAAATAAACTATTGAGTATAGTTAATACATTTGAGCACCGTTCAGAGCCAAATACGTCTAACCTTAGCTAGTCTATGCGCATAAACTTGAAGCCATTTACTCTACATTAAAACAACATTGTAGACAGCTGTATTGATTCAAATAGATGACAAACGACTTAATAACGCTTTCTGTCTAGGCACCATGTAATTCCAGAACTTATTATTTGCTTCAATCTAGACAAAAACATCCATTGTTTTGTTTTTTTGACATTTATTTTAAAAAAGGGTAAAAGGTTCACCCAAATTTCTCAGAGAAGTATGATGGCATTTTTTTCCTCCAACCTCCCCTCCAATAGATTACATCTCCCAGTCTGCAGGGTCAATCTGTCTTTATATTGTTTATACTAGGTGTGTGCATTTATCAGCGTGTTGGTGTAAAGGCTGTGTCAGGAATAAAAAACATTAAATTACAGAGATTAAATGTTTTTGTGTGTGTTTTTGTGTGCCTACATTTGATGTTAGTGTGGAGGTTGCATTAGTGTTCAAATAATTTGGGCTGGGAATGATTAGGCACCGAGTGGGAATCCTGGAATCCAGTGGTCATAGGTTACCCCTCCACACACACGCACACACGCACATGCACACCACTACAAAAAGTGCTCCTTCCCCCAATGACCTAAAGTTTAGTTTTGTTACTCAAACTACAAACTAAAATACTTGGTGATACTCTCGAGATCTAAGAAAAACAAAAGCAAAAAGACAAGAGTGCCAACTGTTTCCATAGCGACTAATCCTCAGGCCTCCCCGTGGCAACATACACTGGGAAGGGGGGGGGTCAACAGAGGGGTCAGTGGAAAGGTCAGCAGGTCCTGGTCCTGTTTGGGGTGAAGCTAGAGGACAATGATTGAGGGGTTGACATGGAGAAGTGTAAAGCACAGGGAGAAAGACAGTGTTGAGGGGGCATCTAACACTTGTATTGTTTCTCGCTGTACATCCTGCAGTGAAAACATCCACTGACTTCGGAATAAGACGGGGAGAATGGAACATTTTACTGTCCCTCTTGAGACGGTTTATGTTTGACATCCATCTTTATGTCTTTCCATCAACACTATTTCCAATATGTTCATTTCTCTGCTTTCGGTTTCACTTCCTGCACTCTCTCAAACCCAGGTGCACTGTTGGAGCTATACCTTGATTTATGTTATTTAATAGTTAAACATTTTCTTTCTTGCCGTCTTTGTTTGTAGCAATTTATAATTGTTTATTGGAATTTTTAGATTTTTTGTTTTGTTTAATTAAAGTGGTAATTTATGCCTGGTGATGAGTGTTTATTGGAGACAGGTGGAGGTGGGTAACGCACCAGTATAGGCATACATTTTTTACCATGGCAATACAAGTAATGCGAAAGGAAAGGAACAGGGCAGGAACACCTTTGCTCTTTGTAATTTGTTGATTGGAATAAACTGCATAAACTACATTCTTGCGAGGAGATTGATTATTCCCCTGCGTAAGATTTGGTGGCTGGTGCCTCAGCTGTAGTTTTATTTTTTTAGTTAATTTTATGTTTTACTTTTTTATGTTTTTGCTGCGACATGCATAACTAAATATGATGTTTTCTTTTGAAAGGCCACTTGGAGGACACAATAGGAGCACTTTTATTTTTAATGTGAATAAAAAACAATTATGCTCCATTATCCACGCTTTAAAAACACATACAAAAAACAAATATTAGCATTGACAAAACTGGCAACCTGAGAGGCGTCAGTCCTGTTGATATACAGAAGAACATATTTTAATAGCATTTGTAATCGTGATAATTTTCCCATAATTTAAAAGACCTTATTTCAAATACAATGTTATCCATGAAAATGTAACTACAATCAAATCGCACTTTTAAAAATGTAATCTGAGCTGGGTAAAGATACTTATTTTTTGGAATCGGATTACTTAATCCTGTTAAATCATTTACCATATGTATGCACTCACTGATCCATGCAGG